GTCTTAGACCCTTCTTAGCTAGAAATGGTGCACAAGGTTTCCCATTTATAATGATCGAGTACGATACAGTTTTAACACATGTCATTATCCACTCTATGAAAAGTCCTGAAAGTTCATAGCACTGAGTACTTGTTTCAGGAAAGGCCATTCTAATAAGTCTTATGCCTTCTGCATGTCTACTTTCACCATATACTTGGGAGAAACTCTTTTTCTGTTATATCCCTTAACTAGCTCATGGCTAATTATAATGTTATCATAGATCACTCTACCTGGGACAAAGGCTGCTTAATTCTGATCAACTAGGTAATCCATAACTCCTTGTAGCCTCTTGGTTAAGATCTTTGATATCAGTTTATACACTATAGTGCAACAAGAAATGGGTTTGAATTGTTTGACAGTAGAAGGAATATTGACCTTTGGTATTAGAGTGATTGTGGTGTAATTAATAGGCAGATACATTCTCCTAGTATCAAAGAATTATATCACTACCTCTGTTATCTCTGTCCTTATGGTATTCCAGGCTTTCTTGAAAAATATAGCATTAAATCCGTCATATCCTGGAGCCTTGTTGTCATCTATATCATTGAGTGCATTCCTTACCTCCAATTCGGATACTGGTTTAATCAGCTTTAATTGCATTTTTCTGGTCAAGCACTGGCCATCTTTCATGACTTGTGGATTGATTGCAGGTAGTGCAGTAGCAGCTTCTCCTAGGATTTGTTTGTAGTACCCAAGAATTTGCTCCTGTATATCATTTTCCCTTTCTATCAGATTACCTCGATCATCTACTAGGGTTCTGATATTATTTTGTGTCATTCTGCTTTTCATGGTTGCAAGAAAGTAGGATGAATTGTCGTCCCCTAGTTGCAGCCACTGATTCCTGGATTTTTGCTTTACTACACTTTCTTCAATTAGTACCCATTTCTCCATCTTCTCTCTAATCATTTTCTCTGCCTATTTGAGTTCATTGGAGTTTTCTTGCATCCTTAGATCCTCTTGCACTTTCATTAATTATTGTCTGTAACTCTTTATCTTGTCCCCTATTCTTGAGTATTGCGTTGTGTTGATTTTTTTGATCTCCTGCTTGACCTTTTTCAGTTTGCCCCATATATTCTCCATGTGATCTCCCTTGTTGATACTATTCTATCCTTTCTCCACACTTTGTTGAAATTCTGCATGTTTCGCAATGAAGTTAAAAAAAATCTGAATGGTCTATAACTTTTGCTTTGTTTCTCTGTTAATTGAATTGCCAATGGAGCATGATCTGAGAAATATGGAGCCATGATTACTATATCCAGTAGTGGGTAAGCAAGCATCCATTCTGCATTTCCCACCCCTCTATCTATCATGTTACTTACTGTATTGTTTGACCAAGTGAATTGTGATCCAACACTTCTTAATTCAGCCATATTGCAGTCTTGGATAAACTCTTTAAAGTCAACAGTCTCATTTTCATGTACTGGAGTCTCATTGATTCTATCTTCTTCTGTCAACACCGCATTAAAATCTCTCATTGCAACTCATGGTTCATGTTGCACATTATGTAGTTGTCTTAATTCATGCCATAGACTTTTCCTATCACCTACTGTAAGTAAACCATATATAGCTGTAAAACTAAATTTTATGTTTGTGTCCCATACACATACTTGTCCATGTATTAGTTGTGTATGTGTATAGTCTACTGTAAACTTAACTTTATTTGTATCCCATAGAATCCAAATCCTTCCTTTTGTGCTTGTGCCATAATTATGGCACCAACCCTACTGGAGGCTATTTTATTTATAATTATCTTAGCATTCTCCTCTACTACTCTGTGCTCCACGATTGAGATAATACCTACATTATTTATTTTTAGAAATTCCTTTAACTCCTTTTGTTTATACAACTTATTCAGCCCTCCAACATTCCATGTGATTAATTTCATCGTACACTAGAAGGTTGTTGATGTATCTCCCCTCTGCTCACACTACACTCTCCCACTTCTATTGCTACGCTTGGTTGTGCAATCTGCTGCTGATCACTTGCTTCCAGTGGATCAAAACCATTTCTGGTTTGCATGTTTTCATTCAGACTCATCATTGCTTGACTCTTGCTACTGATTTGCCCCTCACTTCTATCCATCCTTCATTCATATTTTTGTCATCTACCTTCATACTCGCATGCTTTCCTGGTTCTTCATTTGGTTTCTTTGTTGCTTCCATTATTCCTTTCTTTTTCTCATCCTGTATTACCCATTTTGCTTGACATTCATGCCTGAATTTGAGGGCTTTCCTCCTCACTTGTTTGGGCTTCTTATTTGCTTGTTCATACTTCTCCTTCTCGTGGCATGTGTGCCCCAGTTGTAGACATGTGCTGCAGTATACTGGTCTCCAATCATAGGTCACTTCCTATTCAAAACTCCTTCCATTTTGATCCCTTACTACTATCTTATCCGGAAGTTCTTTTGTGATATCTATCTGTATGAGCACTCTTGCGTAGGAAATCCTATCAATTCTAGTAGTGCAATCGTCTGCATAGATAGGCACACCAAGACTGCTAGCAATTTTGCTTAAAGACTTGACACCCCAATAATTCATTGGTAAATTAGGGAATCTTACCCATAATGGTAGTGTGTGCAACATTTCTTCCTTGAAATTGAAATTTGTTGTCCATTCCCTCACAATTATTGGCTTGTTGTTAATGGTATTTGGGGCTGATGATATAGCTCTATTCCGGTCCGCCATATTATGGAAATGAATAAGAAAGTAGCCCTTATTGTGATAATATACCCTTGGTTTCTCTGCTATCTTCCATTGACTTGCTATGAATTTTTCCACTGCCCCAATTGTGTAAATTATTGTTATAGAGGATAACTATTATAGAGATGTTTGATAGTATATACAGTCTTAGTTATTACATTTGATTGTTTTATGTTAATACATTAAATATGGCTCAACTAATCATCAAAGAGTCTTTTTTGTTAGATTATCATATGTTTACTGTTGTCTTTTGACATTACCCAGCTAACGTAAGTAAATTAAGATTATACCACAAAAAACATCATTCTTTTGATATTGACAGTGCAGTGCAGTGCAGAGAAGGTTTGGTACCCACTAGGATATGGTCATATCACAATCACTTATACGACAAATGTTTTCCCTGTAAATGTAATGACTTCTCCTATATAAAATTGAAATAGAAAAACAAGATAAAGACAATAGTAGTATGTAATAAATTAGTACAAATTAATGATGCCTTACTGTTTGAACTAACAGCATCATTTTTCCCTTAACTGGTTAGCACGTGTAAATATAGCACTAGTTTAAGTGCCAAAACACAATACTATAATTGTTTTACTAAGTATTTATTTGTATGAAGTAGCAAAAAGTTTTTGCAGAGCCTACAAGTGACGATACAAAAGCCTATACGCCGTGAGTTTTCATCTGATTTTTTAGATCATGTATGAGGAATGGTAAATTTGGAAGCAAAAAAAAAAAACCTAATGCGTTATTGATTTTTAAAAACAATATATATTTTGGATCAGATTGACTTAACTAAAACAAAACTTATTTTGAAACAAAAGAAATAAAAAATAGATATATGAACGAAATGTAGTACATTTCTTGGGCAAATGCATCTTTTTAAAACGGGTGTTTATTTTTATTTTTTTCGGTTGACCGCTTTTTATTGGTAACGTAAAATAGAAAGGGGTTCTTCCGTATTAAAAGCAAATGATCTAGCTAATATTTCTTCTACCTATTATCCAAATTAGATATTCTATAAGTTTCTGGTCATATCGAAATGACAAAAAAGATAGAAAGATCACTCGCTCGAAGAAAAATATTTTATAGAGTTTGGTATCAGCCAAGTCCCTCGACTCACAACAAAAATCAATTATGGAATAGCCTTTTAGTTGGTTTTCTTGTTCTTAAGGACTTTCTAGGATGTTTCAGTTTGCTAAAGTTTGAAAAGCTCAAAGAGCACAGATTAGCCCATGGCCTTGTAAATAATAATTTTAAACTTATAAAGTAGAAATAGAATGGGATCTTTACACAAATAACTGGTTATATTCATTGTTTACTTTTTTTAGTCATATACATAGATTATACATTAATTATACATAATTATATACACATAATATATAAATTATGTATATATTATACCTTCATCGACTATTTTTAAGTTAAGTGGTTGGGTGAACTGTTATTTCAATTAATTCTTCAAATAGAATTGGCGTTACATTTTGACTGCAAATTGAGGGGGGTAATTGTCCTGTCCTTTGGATCTTGCATGTGTGCTTGTAGTGATTTAATGCATAGGTGAAAGTAAGTGTCAGAAAAAAATGTGTAAAAAGGGTCACTACGTTAACGAAGACATATGGTTGTAGTTATTGCGATAGTCCGTATTCTCCTCGAGTCCTTATCGTCCTCTCTGGCTTATACTCCACATGTACGCATTATTTATTGTTACATTTAATTATGCCATATATATGTCTGACATTTAAAATAAATTTTAAATACATTTCCTTTTTTTTGGGTTATAAAATTTTACTAAGGAATCCTGTGGTCCACTTTAATTATTTTATTGATTTATTTTCACATATATTAAGGAATTCACTATTTAATATTATTTAATAATAAATAGACCATATTAACTTTTACCATCTCATTAATTTGTTTACCGAAAAATATAACATACTATGAGACTCTTTACTCCAATGACAACTTTGAAAAAAAAAAGATATTTTCTTCTTGATATTTGAGAAAATCATATATTTTGGACCGTAAAAAAGCTAGGCCAAAAAATCAACTAAAGTAACTCGAAGAATAAGAAATTAAACATATGAAATAGTTAAAAAAAATTCAATATATATATATATATATATATATATAGTCACCTTTATTACTCGAGAAAAGGCATATAATTATCAATTACTTATTTACAGAAGAAAAAGGAAAGCTTAATTAAATACACCTTGTGACTACCGATTAGTGCTATCAAATGATTTTCATAGTGCGTGCGTCAAAAATTTTAAATGATAGATAAAATGGATCAAAGTAAATAATAAACTGAAAAATCAAATGAGGAAAGTTTATCGTTAATCTATACAATTGTCCTAGTTACCATTTAGTTGGTGAACTAAATTAATTTATTTAACAAGAAAATATTTTTATTTATAAAGAGTTGGTAGATAGTACGTTTCACATGGTTCCTTGAACCTATTGTTTTTGTTCTTAACAAATAAATGTTGTCCATGTTTGAAAACTAAAGAAATTTGATCTACTCAATCATAGATCAAATTATAATTATGTTGATTTGGACAAAGAGTGTTTGGTTTAATTAGTAGACTAAAAATTGTTAGCAAACACTAAATGCCTTATCTTTTCAAGATTCATACATAGCTCGGAAAAAGGAAATAGATATATCTGTTATAAAATAAAGACTATAAAGTAAATAAATCAAAGACGAGTATAGAGAGAGAGATTGATATATTATTCAACTTCAAACTGATGTACATAATGAACTGAAATCTCCTCTGTTTATAGAAGAAAGGAAGCAGTTGTGAGACTTTTCAGGAAGCAGCTGCGAGACTTTTCTTGAGCTACTTGTAAGCTGTCTGTATGAGCTACTCGCAACCTGCCTGTTTAATAAGAAACTGTTGTAAGTCATTTCATTGAGTTGCTTGCAATCTGACTGTATCAGCTGCTTGTAGATAAATTTCAATAGAGTACTAAATGGATAATCTTCTCCAGGAAAATTATCTACAGCGGAGTAATAAATGGACATCCACTATAATATTTTCATAACACTTCCAATTAGATGTTCGTTATTAAGTGTCTCGTTAAAATCTTACTAGAAAAAATCCCGTGAAAAAATACTCTAGTCAAGAAAAAAGAGTACACTAATAATATACATTGCAAGTTGCCTCATTAAAAACCTTACCAGGAAAACTCAATGGAAAAAAT